TTTTGCTCTCTTAACACCAATTTTTTATTGCCCAAATCGATGGAGTAATCAATTTCGATTAAAAAACCCATAACCTTTAATACCCCTAAAATGGATCGTTTCAATGATATTTTAATTTAAACTGAGCACTGCACAACGCTGAAACAAAAAAGTAGGGATTTTGAATGGATGATATCCACGGTAACAAATGACCATGGTCTCACTAATCGCTGTCAGGCATCTGTCAACTTTGACACTAGACGATTATTAGACAACTAATCGAAAATATTTAATAAAAGAGTTTACCACAGATTCCAAACATAACTTAGAATAAATCTAAATGAATCTCGTAGCATTTAATACATAAAAAATTCACAAAAATTTATCGTCAAAGTTAACAGATGCCTGGCAGGGATTTATGTGACCATGGTCATTGGTTGTCGTGGATACCACTTATTCAAAATCCCTATTTTTTGATTTCAGCGTTGTGCAGTCCTCAGTTTAAATTAAAATATCTTTYAAACGGCCCATTTTAAGGGTATTAAGTGTTATGCGTTTTTTAATTGAAATTGATTACTCTATCGATTTGGGCAATAAAAAATTGGTGTTAAGAAAGCAAAAAAATAAAAAACACAGAAAATGTGACCTGCAACTGCTGGAACCGGAAATTGAGTGGATGTATCCGGTTTTCGTGATTACCAGTTTAAAGGGTATGTTGTCACAGGGAAATGTTCCAAATTTTATAATATTTGGTCAAGTAATTCCAAAGTTATTACAAAAAAATCAAATTTCCATACCCACATTCCGAGGGCTGTAAAATTCTTATCAGTACATATAGGACACGAGTTATTATTTAAATTAACAACATTTGATGGGTCATTTTTGAGGTTCAAATATTGCTTCATATTTATGAATAACCCTGTATAAATAGGAAACACTAGTTTCGCCTGTTTCTATAGATGTACTCCTATAATATTTTTGACACTAATTAAGAATTTTTTGTTGCCTTATTTTTTGGTAGGTTAAAGCAGAGGTATGTATGTAACAGCACAAAAACGCCCAGGTAAAACATTTTTTTGCAATAGCCAAAAGGAGAATCGAATCTAACAAATTTAGTTCAATCCAAGGTAAGAATATTATTAAAAAAAAAAGATGTTTTTGTGTATTATTTTTTTATAGGCTAAAGAAGAAGTACGTATTTAATAAAATAATATCAAAACGTTTAATTGTAACATTTCTTGCAATAGGTGAAAGGAAAAGCGAGTCCAAAAAATTTAGTTCTTCCTAGACTGAAACAGCTCGCTGATAAATTGGGTCCCGTAAATAATACAGTTCAACCCAGGGTAAGAACTTTTCAGTATAGATTTTTATTAGAGGTGAATTTGATCCATAGCTTCTGAGGGAATATTACGAAGATAAGTAAAATGGTAGTAACAAAGTCGGTGATAAGATCTGTATTCAAAAAGAGACATGTTTTGGCAAAACTTTTGTCATCATCAGTTTAGGTCGAGAAAGGGCCTTATAAAATATATAAAACAAATAACTAACGGAGATTTACCAAAAGCTTTCTGTTAGTTAATTGTTTTARATATTTTACAAGGCSACTTCTCGATTTAGGCTAATGATGGCAAAAGTTTTACCGAAATATGACTTTTTTTGTATAAACATTTTATTACTAAATGTGGAATAGACTTTGTTACTATCATTTTACTTAGATTTTTATTGTGTGTACTAACCACTTAATATTTTTTTGTTTATTTGCCAAAAATCTTAGCATTCTCAGTCTTTGCAATGTAGATAAAAAAAAGATATTGCTGGACGTCTTGAATGTTAAATTTCAGGCGGGATGCAGTTTTTTTAATATTGATCCTTATATTGACCCCGGTCAGTACTTTATGATAAAACACGTATCATCAGGGTTGGTATTGGACGCCAGAAGTTTTGAAGTTCAAATGCAGGTACCTACACGATCTAAAACTCAGTTATGGAAACAACAAACGGCTGGACTTGGAAAGTTTTATTTAGTTAATCGTGCCAACGGGTATAAAACTTACTTTACGCATAAATAATAATTATTAAAAAAAAACAAAAAAAAATGTTTACAGAAAAGTTTTGGATATCAATGATGAAGGTAAACCTAACAATAAACTAATCACCTTCCCAAAACATGGTGGACCGAATCAGCAATGGTTTAACAACTTCGGCCAACTTGCCAGTGACTATAAAAATGTTATTATTGCTGCTCAAGATAAGGATGTAAAAGCAGTTTCTAACTATGGAACCTCTAACGAAATGTTCACTTTTGTACTTGTTTGTTCAAAATAATAATATTATTAATTATTATAATAAATATTATTATTATTATAAAATATTATTTTTTAGAAAATAATTTACCAATTATGCTTAATGTAAAATAAAATTACGAAACAAACTTTGTTGCTTTTGTTTTAATTTTGTGATGTCCAAAAACTCAAATGATGGAATTTAAATAATATAAAAAAATAGAAACTTTTTGCAGAATTGCACATATCTTACTGAAAAGACTTTTATAAATTTTCCTATTTAGATAAGTGTTAAAATCCCTACCAATAATCCACTTACGAACGTTTCGGATTTACTAGGTATTGTTAAAAATTAAACGACGAACGACACTTTCAAATGTAGCATTTTTATTGTAAAACAATTACAAAAAATAATACAAGAAACGCAGCGACYATTTGTTCYTATTTCTCGTGAATAATGACTAAATGTAAATTTGCTTGGACGAATAAATTATTATTATTATTAATTTACTTCCCGACCAAGGGGCATAATGACATATTTCCTAACCTTGAAATGGCTAGAAAACGGTATATTACTGAAATTGTAAATAAACAATATTAAGACAAAAAGCAGACAACATGGTTTGATATTATAAACAAAGAAAAGTATTGAAATTTAGTTGGGAAACAACATTATCACAATCAGTGATCACCAAAAACATGGTGAATTTCTAAAATCGTTAAAGAATKGGCAGTTGGCTTAGTCTTCCGTCTACGTTGTAGTTGTACACCTTGTGCAGGATAATCGACGATATTGTCGTAGAATAAGATGCGCGGATTAATTCAATCTGCTCTCCGGCAGCGAGTACATCGACTTAATTAAACGACTAAAGGCTTAAATTGAGCTCGAAATGAATTAACAGCCGCGACGCCGATTACCTTTTTACAMYGGAACAAACGTAATTTCGCTAATTTCCTCTCCCTTTTGTCGATGGGTTAATAAATAGCTGCGGATAATTCTGCAGTCGCGCGAAAATCGTCGAGGATTAGCTTCACAAGATGGAAATGTTGCTCTAGGTTTGCCTAATAAAACAGCAAGTCTAAAACAAATGTTATGATAAAGCGAGAACTTGAAATAAATGCCACGTTTGATCAAAATATCAAGTCAAATAACAAAAAAAATGTTAATGTCAATTAACATATCAATTTCAACTAAACTTCGTTTTTTGTTACAGTCTTAAGGTCTGATTTAGCGCGCTCGGTTAGGGCCAATTTACGTTAAATATTGATTGTGAACAGAGCAATTGGTGTGGTGCGTGCCCCGTTCACACGGTTACTGCTTACGTGACACGTCCCTAACTAAATTAATTACAAGAAACGCAGGAGGATGAAGGACAGTTTCAAAATTTAGACCCTGAAAAATTATTATTCTGGAAAAGTCTGAAGTATCGTTATTTATCTCAAACTTTAGGATAGGACTAGAAACTGATATCAGATCCTGTCGGATTTGAAAATGTTGTATAGGAATTATAGAGACTCGTATTTTATCAAAATTGTAGGGGCTTCACCCCCGAGGAGAACTCACACTATCACATTTCTTTCTAATTGTATAAATAAAATCACACTTTTGAGTCAAGTATTTTGATTATCGGTTACATTCAAAGCAGGTTAGTCTCTTAGTGTTATACAGGGCCAGTCATAGGAGAGTTACTTCTGAAATCATTTGAGCAGCAACCCATTATACAATTCACATAGGCGTCTAGCTTCCTCATTTTTAAAAATTATAAAATTGAATCGAAGAATACTTTGCATATCTTTTCATTTTGACATTTAAAAAGTAACAGTCAATATTCGTTAATACAATATATTACACAAGGCGACAAAAAAAAGGCATGTCGTGACAACTTGACAAATTTTATATCATTTTGTTCGTTTCAGTAATTACTCTAATTACTCAATAACTATTAGGCCGATTTCCTTCAAATAAAGACCATTTTAAAGGGATGGACTTGTCATTTAGAATGATATGCAATTAGAAATTGAATATTGGCAAACTTTTCTTCGAACAATGTTCGAAAAAGTTCGAAGTWAATCGAAGTAATCTAAGAAAAACCCTACGAGTATTTTTTTTCTTTGTCACCATCATGTAGAGCATCTTTTTATTAATAGGAATCTAAATTTTTTAAATAATATACCGAGTAGTTTTTAAGATATGATTTTTTCGTAATTAAGGTTTGCTTTTCAGGTATTGCGCCATATAGGAGAAATGCATGTTAATCTTACTTAAAATTGCATTTTTATAAAAGTATTTGTTTTAACACTCTTCTTTTGCTTAAAAATGGTCAATTGCACTTTCTTTGTTCTAATTAGAATAAACATAAACTGTTTGTTTACTTAAAACAAATAAAGAGTACCTGTGTACTAATTAAAGCAAATAAAGAGTTTTTTTGTTGTAAAAATGACCACTGATCATTGAGCAAAGAGGATCTAGAAGTTTAAGACACGAGCCTTAAATATAAGGGCAAATCTTTTTCAAATCAAATCACTTTCCATTCAGATTTCGACTTGTTCACTTTGTTCTAGCTTTCTGACCTTTTTTTGAAAATTTTCTGAGCAAATGCTTTTACTTTTTACACTTTTAAGTGATGTTAAATGCAATAAGACATCTGATTTATTTTGTTGGTACATTCTACGATTTGCTTCAGTTAGCTTGTAGGTAGTAGTTGTTGTGTTAACAGTTGCACAGGAAGCAACTGACTTATTGCATTCAACATCAGTAGAAAGTGATGAGAAAGCATTTGCTGAGAACATTTTCAAAAATAAGTTCAGAAAGCTAGAACAAAGTGAACAAGTTGGAATCTGAATGGAAGTGATTTAATTTGAAAATTATTTGTTCTTATATTTAAAGCAACTGTTTTAAACTGCTAGATCCTTTTTGCTCAATGATCAGTGATCATTTTTACACCAAAAAAACTCTTTATTTGGWTTAATTAATACGCAGGTACTGTTTGTTTGTTTTAAGTAAAGAAACAGTTTTAGTTTACTCTATTTAGAACAAACAAGGTGCAATTGAGCATTTTTAAGCAAAAGAAGAGTCTTAAAACAAATACTTTTATAAAAATGCAATTTTAAGTAAGATTAACATGAATTTCTCCTATATGGCGCAATACCTGAAAAGCAAACCTTAACTTCAAAAAATCATATTTTAAAAATTACTAGGTATATTATTTTAAAAATTTGAATTTTTATTAATAAAAAGATGCTCTACATGATGGTGACAAAAAAAAAAAATTACTCGTAAGGTTTTTCTTAGATTACTTCGATTTACTTCGAACTTCTTCGAACACTGTTCGAAGAAAAGTTTACCATTATTCAATTTCAAATTGCATATTATTCTAAAGGGCAAGACCATTCCTTTAAAATGGTCTTTATTTGATAAAATCGGCTTAATAGTTATAGAGTAATAATTTTTTAAAGTTAAAGTATTTTAAGTTCATTTAAATTAGAAAAAAATTATTTAGTTCAAAATGTGTGGACTTTTTGAAATTTTTTTAGTGCATTTGATTTGTCTCACTGAGACGAACAAAATGATATAAAATTTGTCAAGTTGTCACATGACTTTTTTTTGTCACCTTGTGTTATTACACAAATAACGAAAAAGTGGACATGGTCTTAATGCAAGAAAATTGCTGCTGCGGTAGCAGCTCTTTATTTGGAGAGGTATCCAAATCAAATGCATCCGSTTCCTGAAACATTTAGAAAACTGGAAGCCAAGTTACGACAAAATTGGCCCCCAATGAAAGACCCCGTCAGAGGACTGCTACTGGCCCAGAAAATTAAATTAAAGTCCTTGAAGCAGTAGACAATTCCTTGTCATTTTGACGACTTCACTCATTTTTATCCAGCTCACATTCATTACTGAATTCATMTAAATAAAATATTATATCCACTTACATACGCTAAAGGTATTTTTGGTTGCAAACTAATTAATTTTWAATGTAACTCTCCTGTGACTAACCCTGTATTATGCTGTATAAAAATTAAAAGGAATATTTAGACAATAAATAAAATAAACGTTATATCTTCTTGCGATTTTTAATTGTTTTAATTACGTTTTAAATTTGAAATAGGATACTTCTTCGCCTTGGGTTAAATAATATCTAAATCCGCCACTGTTCGTGTAGTACATTTAGTTAATGAGGGGGTGTAAAGTGCTCTCGATGCCATCAACGACTCCCCCCTCGTCGTCATAATGGACCTCAGTGAGCGGAACTTTTAAAATCTTAAAACCGAAAGTTTTGGAACGCTTTTTAACGCGAGAGGGGCACGTTAAATATGCATAACGGCTAATTGTCAATCAATTATTTAAAGGACGCAAAGCACGCTATGCTACTTAACGCGAAGATTGTTACGACTGCAAAGATGATAGTTACAATTTAGTTTTAGTATATTGCAAACGAAAATCGAACCTAATTTTTTGTGTTTGTTTTCGTTTATAATAAAATAATAATATTTAAGATCAACGGCTTGCCACTGTAATTTTTAAAATATTTTGAACTAAAAACATTCTTTATCATTTACAACTCTCGTGTGTGGAAAAAAGCATAATGGACAATCTACAGTATGTCCCCACATAGGTGAAACAACTCTTGAATAAAAATTAATTTTTAACATTATTTTAGTTTTGAAAAATTAAATGTCTTGGAAATTTTAAAAAAACTTATTTTTCTTTAAAGTGCCTTTTGTGTTGTAAATAGGACAAAAACTTATTTAAAAAAGTTGTTTAGAATCAACATTTAGGCTCCTATACCAAATTTCAAAATCATCAGCCAACTATTTTTTTATGTCTATTACATATTTCACAAATCAAAGAATTTTATTTTTAAAAGTTTCTTTTTATTACGAATAAAAAAATTACATTTAGATTATTAGTATTAAATAACTTTTTTGTACTTGTTAATAAAAATATCTTGGAAAAAATATGAAAAATCATAGTTATAACCAATTATTTTGAAGTTTGGTATATGGGCTGAAGTGTTGATTCTAAAACACGTTTCTTTTTTTTTTTCTTTTTGTTGTATTTGGCACATAAAA